TCATGCAAAGATTAATAAAAAAAAAATCATGCCTCCCTCCATTAGTCCCTTCCTAAAAAAGAAAATGAAGGTGAGAATTTACTCTGGTGGCTTAGCAAAGACCCTCCCTTTGAGATAAAACACTAGTCCTATGTTTCCACGTGTGCAGATTAAAGGTTGCTTATGTGTACCTGAGGGGTGGCAATACCTTCTGCCTCGACAACTCCTAATCTTATCCTCCTGGTCACATCCGTAACATCTAAACCCTCAGGCTAGATCAGGTTCTATTTTTATAAACTCACATAGCATTTCTTAACTTTTCCATTTGCAACTCTTATCCCACTTTTTAATGCCCATCTTCCCAAATAAATTATCAGACCCAAGAGATCACAACACTCATAGTTTGAAAACTCTGGTATCTCAAAGACTAATAATGAAGTCCAGAAGGAAGACAACTCACATCGAGCCCATATGTATTCTTTCCTCTCCTGCCATGCATGCGTTCTTACTACCACGTATCAGGAGCTTACTCCATACGGGCACAAGGGTTACAAAAGTAGGTAAGATAAATCACTGTGGCAGAGATTGCTCACTCTCAGATTTCCCTTTGTTTTTAAACACGCAGCAAGATTACATATCTTAGCATTCCTTTCAGTTAGGTATGACCTTGTGACTAAGTCTTCTCATAGGAAATGTGACCGTAAGTGCTGCATGTATGCCCCTAGCAGCCTAGCTTTAAAATCTTTCAGAAATGCTCCTCCACATTCTTACTCCTTCCTACTGGTTGGGGTGGAAATGATCAGAGCCACCTTGGAAATTACATTAGACAGCAAAGCCTTCCTTGACCCAGACCCCAGAAAAACCTGCAGGAAGCAGAGCCACTACTGCCTGGGATGCCCAACCTGGACTTTGTGAAACACTAATAGCGTTCTTGTTCTTAAAAACCCTAAGATTTGGGGATCTATTAGCACAGCCTAGACTAGCCTAATACAGTTATCAATCTCAAGAAGTTCGCATGTTCTAAGAAAAGAATTCCTATTATTATAAAATATATTTCTAAGAGCCTTCAAGATTGGAGCAAACTAGAGGGTTGAATTTTATAAGTCAGCATTGTTGGCTTCAAAGCTGCAGGCTTTGCTCCCACCAAGGGTGGATAATCAAGGTCATGTAGGCAGATACAGCGTAACAGATATATTTCTCTGCACAGACAAAGAAGCATTCTGAGCTAGTTCCTCGGAGGGAGGAACTCGGTGGCATGCAAGTTTAATAGCTGTCTTCTTACTACACATCCTCCGACATCTTCCAAAAGGAAAAATCAAATCTGCATTTTTTCATTCTCTGAGGGTGTTTAAAGAAGTCACCTCACCTCCTTTCTGCTTTTCCACTGTGATAGGAGTCGGGAGGGTCAGATGTAGAATGTTTTCTGAAAGCCCTAGGAGACCAGGTCAGCCCACAGTGTCTGGGAGGATTAGCAGCATCCCTTGCCATTTGCTCCAGCCCTGGCCTCCCCTAGATCTCAGGACAGAGGGGGACCCAAGAAGTCAGGACAAAGAGTTTCTACAGGCAACACAACGGGCTGTGATCCTTGAGCTTGTCTTCGGTTTAGTGCACTTTCCAGAGCAGCTAAAGGGCACATGGTGTGGGTTTCACCAAGCCAGGAAGGGACAAAGACAGAGAGAGAGTATGAACAGACTGAAAGGACACAGAGGAAAATTATTTTAACAAAGTAATATTTTTTACTGCCCAGGCAAATGGCTTTTGTGAAAATACTTATATGAAAAGCAATATGCCACTTTGTTTTTACTTATTCATTACTATCATTAAGTTTTGATGCAAATGGGAATTTACAATAAAACGAAAACAGGATCAAGGATTATGTACAATACTGAGATCCAATGATTCGTGATTCAGGCAATGTACTTAAAACGCATTATCTTGATTTCTCATTCCAGTTGCTGCAGATGCTATTTGAGGAAGCAAAGAATACACGAGGAGAAAAATAAATACACTGGGCTAAATAATCAAGACTATTACAAAGAATATAAATAACAAATTTATAACATATTGCAGTACAAATAAACAATGTTTTTAGTATAAAAATTGTATTTCCATGAAGCTGCCTAATAAAAAATATGAATAAACTACTTTGGAAACATGTCAAAGTCGTATGAGTCACACATACAGAGTGTCACAGTCTACATAAACCTTTACTGAGAATAAGCCATCTGAAGGCCACCTCCTGGGCTGAAGCTAGCAAACCCTTGCAAGTGACTTCCTGCTTCAGGACAGCTATCCAGAAAGCCGCCCCATCAGGGTTCATCAGACTTGACACCACATTTGGCTTTTTCAAGACAAGCTATAATCTTCTCAAGAGAATCAAAACGTAGGACTGAGGTAAAGAGATATTACACAAAAAGGAACTTTTCTGTTGGCACAAAAGATTACATGAGTACTTTCCAAAATGTTGGTATATTTGACGGGATGGGTCGACCGCACATTTATAATACTGGCAGAAATAACACTGCAACACCGAGATGAAGGACGTAGATAACCTCCCGATAGACACTAGCAAAGCACCAGTCTCCCCTCCTTTTTCACTTCACACCAAAAATTTTATGCTGAAATCTAAAGTTTACCCTATCTTTTCCATCTTTCTATTTTTTTAATTTTTCTACAGATTCTTCATTGTTTCCCATCCTGTAAAACAACATATTAATATAAGCTCCACTCCTGAGGGACTCGGTAATACAAAGTCACACGGTAAGTACTCGCCTTAAAAATCATTTTTATCATCTACCCTGGAGGTGTTACAAGATTCAGCTTCTGTAGACTGAAATATACCCAAATCATGTTGCAAAATCATAGCTAGCAACAAAGGTTTTGACCATAAAAAGTCAAAATGTGGCTTTCTCCGCTGTCAAAAGCCAACCCAGTTGAAGCTTATTTACTTTATTTACTACAGTAGTTATTTTGAATTTAAGCAGTTCAAGAGGCCTGTGGCTAACAGACAGGGCTCCTGTGCGCAAGGTGAGACTGTAAGTACGTGCCCATGCAGTGCAAGACCCTGTGAGCGCCAAAGGCCCTCTCTCCCACCCCATCCAACGATTATGCTTCGAAGGGAAAGAAAGAGGTGGGACTGCCGGTATGTTGCTTCCATAGGAGATCTCTAAGCAAGCTGAACCAGTTTAGCAGATATAGCAAGAGATGAACAATAAAAAAATAAAAATGTAATCGGAACTTTCAAATTTTCCTTCTAATCAAAGAAAAGGCACCTGCTCCAACGACCCACACATAAAGCACTGCACATCCCCACTCCAAAATCCAGTTACTTTCATTTCATTCTCTTAATTTTAATTCATATAAACTACTATTCTGTAATTAAATATCTGGTATTGCAATAGAGGGAAGCCTGATTTTTTTTTTTTTTTTAAATCACAAGCATGTTTCCAAGCACTTGCCTTCTAGATTAAATATATTACCTACAGGAAAAATCTCCAAAGTCTTACTGAAATGTTGATCTAATTTCAAGTTTAAATTACTTTAGGTTGATTTTTTTCCTTCAGTTTTATATTTGTTCAGTATTGAAAACAAATCCAAAGCCTTCAAGTGGAAACAAGTTAAATCAGATGTGCACTTATCAGGCTGACTGGTAAAAAATAACCCATCATTCGCCAGGATGTTAAAAAAGGGAAAATCAGGGAAAAATGGTTCCCATAGACACATACTTAAACTTTTAACGGGTCCTCTTCTCTAAGATGTTTTTTGCCTCACCCTCCAATTTTTTTAAAGTATTGCTGAGAAAGAAAATGCATTTTTCTTATTACATAATTAGATACAGGTTGAGCATGTCTTAACCGAAATGCTTAGAACCAGAGATGTTTCAGATTTTTTTGGATTTTGGAATATATGTACATATGAGAATACATAATGAGATATCTTGAGCATAGGATCCATGTCTAAACATGAAATTCATTTATGTTTCATATACACCTTATACCTATAGCCTGGAGGTAATTTTATACAAGATTTTAATAATCTTGCATATGAAACAAAATTTTGACTGTGTTTTTACTGCAACTTGTCACATGAGGTCCGATGTGAAATTTTCCACTTGAGCCATCACAGCACTCAAAAAGGTCCATATTTTGGAACATTTGGGACTTCAGACTTTCAGATGTGGAATGCTCATACTATTTGGAGTCCAGTTGGAAACTGGTCTTACATTTAGAAAATCCAAGGTAGATTGTATTTCTGCATGCCTTCCCCTCTAGTCAAATACTCCACTAAAAATACTCCACTATAAGAATATTTCAATTTTGGAGGAGATAATTATACAGAAAAACTAAACTATAAAACCTTTCTTACTCTGTACCTCAGAACTTGAACTTACTGTTCTCTGAAAACTTTGTTTCAGGTGACTATGAGAGAAAGAAACCCAGGGACAGGAGGGAAGGCCCAGCTCAGCTCTGATCCAGAGAAGATTCCTGGCATCAGGGAGATGGAAGTGCCAGGACCAGAACTGTGGCACTTTGGGTGAGGCTGTGTCAGAGACTGACGTGGCGGGAGGGGCAGAAATGGGTACCTGTCAAGGTTCTGCACAGGCCATCAGTTCTGTGATGTACTCAACCTTGAGGTTGCACTGCTGAATGAACAGCACAATAACTGGTGATTCTTAACAAACTTCACTGTGCTGGGCAAGGAGACTATTAAGTAACTGAGTTGGAAAGATGAAAAATAACTGTTTCTAAGAATCGATACTGTCAGAAGAATAACCTCCTTTGTGCAAGGTTTGCAATAGTGTCTCATTCAACCACAGGAGGGCAGAGAGTTTCAGAACCTCTCCTCACCAGTGAGCCCCATGTTCACGGTGAATACAAGGAAAGGGTTATCTAAATAGCCAGATAGAAACATACTGCATATTCCTTTTTAAAGATGACAGAAACTTTTAGAATTTTATATACTTGTACTCATTATTTTTCCTGGACCCAAGGGGCATAGAATCAACTCTGGGCGTCTTTCAGATGCCTGGAATCTAACTTCATGAATTTATTCTGAGACATAAATCAGGTAAGAGAGAAGTAGATGGATGGATTTTTAAAAGAAACTGGGCTCCCTAGATACTTATAGTTGATTGAGTATTGAGAGATTTATAAAGATATAATTCTTTAGATTATGAAAGATGGAAACAAAATCAAATCTTTCATTTCCAGATATTGACTTTCATTAATTCTTTCACCAAAAGCACATCACTGAAGGAAAACCAGAAATGGTTTTCCAGTTATTATTAAAGTGGTTCAAGAACCAGGGAACCCCTTGAGATGGAAACAAAACAACACAGTATTCAAGTTTTCTTCACAAGACTACCTTGTACTGGCAAGACTTAGAGGGCTTCTGGCTTCAAAAAGGATATTGCTAAAGAAACTTTTTGAAAAAAACTACTACATTTTAGCCAAAAAATATAAAAGATCTGTCCTGTAAAATCCCTACTTCCTTTTGAATCTCTTACGGTTACAACATTTCGTTCAAGATGCTTGGCAGTCATAATTTCTTGGGTTGTGGTTACTGATTATCTAAACCCTTAAGTCAGAATAAACATGGTTGATGTAAAGCTGGCTGCTAAGTTCTCTCTCACCAAGGAACAACTGTGCAGAGTGTGGGGAGCCTGCAGGCCCAGGGTGAAAGAGTTGAAAAAATTAAAGGTAAGGAGAAAAATATCACAAAGGAGATTTAGAAGTCTGGGATGATTTCAGAGCTCTTTTCTAAATCCAGGGCCCTGCCAATTTCTATCTCTAAAAGTGTTCGTGCACTATGGTGCCTGATGTTTCCCGCAATTTGACGAAAATAACAACACAAGACAAGGAAGCAAGACTTCTGCTGCACAGTGAGGATGCTCAGAGCCAAGGCTCCTTTGTTTTCATTTTATGGGGCCTGTGGCCTTGTCTCTAGAAGGGGCTAATGAGGGCTGGGGGTGGCCTCCACTGGTCAAGACTCTCTAGCCCCAAGTAAGTGAACTCATTCCCATCCCAAGTCTATGAACAGATCCTGACATCACCATCGTGTTTGTCTTTCCGTATCATGATTGTCATACCTGAAAGATTCTCCTTAGCATACACGAGGCTTACTGTCATGAGACCACATGACTAGAGATCATCTTTTAAGAGAGAAGCTTGCTTATTTAGAAAAAATTAAGAGTTTGGTTTAGACTGCAGACCAGAGGGAAGCTGACATATTCTTTTGGTCTGTATTCTTGGAAACAACGTCATTAAACCTGCGGTCCCTCATCAGCATGCTGACTTTTGCGCTGCCTCAACGAGTCCTCCCCCTGCTCTGCGTCAGCTGAACGGGGCTGCTCAGTGATGTCTTCTTCAGTCTCCTCAGGTTCCCCTTCCCCCTGGGCCGCACTGCCCTCTCTCGGGGGTCCCTGGTCATTGGCATCACTCCTCTCCTCATCCACCCCAGAAGCCAGGTTGTCTTCTTCCTCTTCTTCCTCTACTTCATCATCATCACCAAGGTCTTCTTTCTCTTCTTCATCATCTACAAGGCTGTCCTTGTTTTCGTCTTCATTCGAGTCATCTTTTTCCTCCTCTGCATCCCGCAACTGTTCAGCCCTTTGAGCCTCCTCTGACCTCTGATTCTGCTCTGTGGAGGGAGGAGAGGGGAACATCCTCTGAATAAACAATGGTAATTCGTAATCACTTGAATATGTTCAGCTATGAAATGAAAAAACGGGGGAAGTGAAAGTTTTTCCACGTTGGAGCCGTGCTATCACGCAGGACAGAGTCTCCAACTGGCATCCTAGCCCCATCCAGGGCTTCTCCGCCCCTCTCTGGAAATCTCACTGACCACGTGGACTTTGGCAGAGCATGTAGGCAGGGACAGCAAAAGTTCCTTCATGCTCTGTATTTTGTACCTTGTAGAAGGCTCAGTGACCCCCACCGGGCATGGCAATTGGTTCAGAAATGAGACAAGCTGAGCCAATCCAAGTACTCCCCAGGCGTTCTAGGCCAGGGTAAGGAGGAAAAGCCTCTCTTCGAGGACTGTTAAACAGAGAAACTGTGAGTTGGGACTGTGGACAGCCACTGAATGAGCCACATGGAGCAGAACTCTAACATCACTTGGGTTGCGCTTGAAGCTGGAACATCTATGGACTTTTTAGGTATGTGAGCTAATAAATTTTCATTTTTTTCCCCGAAGATGCTTTATACTGGGTTTCTGTCATTTTTAAGAATTCTAAGGATCATAATATATTTTCTAATAATCTATGGAAATCTCAAAGCCTCAAAAACTTCAAGAACTAAAAAGAAATATGAGAACTCCCACATAAAATTCAATAATTACAAAGTCTCATAAAAGTCCTTATGCAGTCTCAGAAAGAGTCAGGAATAAAGACACAAGAATCCAGGGCCACTTGGTCCCAGAAACAGTGTCAAACAGTGTGAGGATTTGCAGAAACTGCTTTTAAAAGGCTCAGGAGAGGAACTGGTACATGTGAGTCTCCTTCCCTCTCTTCTAGTTCTAGTTTGAATGAAGGAAATGACATTCCCGATTAATGAAGAGCACAAGCCTAAAGGGAAAAAACAACTGCCAGAATGAAATATTACCTAATTTAAGAGAGGAAAAAAATATTTTTGTTCAAATCTACCTACTACCTACAGAATATATTTTAAGGAATTTGGGAGTGGTGATGGTTTGGTCAGCTAGCAAATCAGAGGGAAAATCCACTATCTACATGAGGACAAAAGGGCACATCATAGAATTCCAAAAATATTCTACGTCGCATGAGCTTATCATACTTACCAGAACGTTCCGATAAATGCCTTGGAAGTGGCACATAGAAACATTCTGATATTATCACCAAGACCTGAAGGGGAAAAAAACGATTTTACAGTGAGTAGATAGGACAGTTATTACCAAAGGGCCCCAAAATTAGGTCTTGCTTCTATAACCAGATATTCTCAGACAAATAACTAGCAGCTGGTCAAAAATCTTCAACAAAGACAAGGATATAATTAAGAATTGCCTACTTTTCAAATGTGGCATAATACAGAAAAATATTAATTTAGAATGGGGATCACAAAGTCAAAAGTCTAGAGAGAGCTCACTCTGAATAGATGAATCAATCAGGTATAAGAAAATAGACATTATCAGCCAAGTCTAAAACAAGTCTTTTTAAAAAACACTTTTCTGGACAAACACAACTACTCTGTACATGAGGTGCTCCTCTCCAATGGGTGACCCTCATTAAGTAGAAGGACATTTTAGGAATGTTACAACCAACGGTGGGGTGGGGAAGGATCAAGCGTGGCAGTTTGTTTCAAGGAAGAGACATTTAAGGCCCTGCGCACAGTCAGGAAAGGATGGGTAGCACCAGCTGCCTGGGTGCTAAAGCTACACCAAGTTGGATCACCATGGGGGCTCTTGGATCCAGAGAAAGCCCTAAATGCCAGGTTGAGGAGACCAGGAGGTGGAGCAATGAGATGCAGGGAGCTTCTGTGGGTTGGGGAAAAACAAGCTCTAATTTGAACAGCAAAGAGAAAAAAACATTTCCATCCGAAAAGGCTGAGGTTGAAAACCTTACATTTTTAATGTGACAGTCACATGTTTACTAGCTATTCACAGGACGGAATGTTTTTTACAATTTTTCTTATTTTTTATTTATAATTGACACATAATAACTGTATATTTCTGTAAGTGGGTATATTTATGGGGTACAGTGTGACATTCCAATGCATGTATACACAGTGTAACAATCAAATCGGGGTAATTACCATACGCATCACTTAAACTTATTATTATTGTTTTGCTAAATAAAGTTATCTTCCCAACTTCTTATAAAGGAACTTTAAGATAATCTTACTTAAAAGTTTGTTTTTTTATATAAATTTTGAGTAATTATCAATTATTCCTACCATATGGTGTTTAGGAGCTCTGTGATTAGTAACTTCTTATCCTAATAGCAGTTTAAAATGTATTCAAATTGATCAAGAGAAGGTTAAAAGAAAGACAAAAAATTCTTTATAACATTAAAATATGCTAAAACATTTATAGTTGCCTATATAGTTATGTAAATAAATGTATTATTCCAACTCTCATCTAAAACAACTAGGGATAAAATGGACAGACACATACTGGATACTGATTTTCATTCCCAAAGAAGACATGATGATGTGCTGTGATTCTTAAATGTTTTTTCCACAGTAATGACTATGTTGTTTTATCTACATTATCTTACGAAATCCACCTCGAGAAAACCAGAGTGTATGTATAAGCAGCTAGTCAGGATTAGAGGTTCAATTGGAGGACATGAACGAGAAAAATATCTTGCATCTACCCAAAAGAACAAATTCAAAACTTTGGCCTTGTCACCACAGTGTTCTAATCAAGTAGGCAAGGTGTAAAATCACAGCTGATTCAGTTGTCTTGGAAACTGTCAATTCAAGTAGTGTCTCTATTTATTTTTTCATCACTACATTCTGGGCTGTACATATCTTCAGAATATGCAAGGACCATATTAGGGGACAATAATTTAATGAATTTTCCATTATATCTCACATTACAATTGAAAGCAGTATCAAACAAGCAAATGTGATTTAACTGCTTAGATTACACGCAAAAGAATATTTGTTCATGTGTTTTTTCTTTCTTGGCTGCCTTTTAGTTTTCCATGAAATCCATTTTGCTTTAAAGATAGGCAAAAAGATTGGTTATCTCTTACCAGACCCATGAAAAGGCCCAAAACCAAGGTGGCTATGACGAAAAAGACATAAGAACACCAAGCAGGAATTCCAAGGGTCCCTGTGAAATAGTTGTGAAGATGCTGTAATCAGAAGAAAACAAAAATATTTGCTTGTAATGAAATTCAAATGTAACATTTGAATCTCCTTCTCTAGCTATAACTCAAATCTGCAAATCATCTCTACATATATAAGTTCCCCAAAAGGCTTATATATCTAAAATGATTCCTAAAGAATAAGTCAAATTTAATGAAAATAATAATCAAGGTCATATCTAGTAAGAGTTACTTCCTCAGAGTTCATGATCTGGACAGAAATCTGATAGAATTGTTTTGCTAGTCCTCTTTTCCATTATGATAGATTTTTTTGGTCCCCTTCTCCTAATAATTATATATATCTCAATGTTTACTCATAATATGGCATATATAAACAAATTAAATTTCTTTGGCCTTTATCAATTTTCAACTAAAACCTAATTCCTATTCACAGAACACTAACAATTTAGAATGCCTCCTTTTTCTAATCAGATTCTCTTGGCTCTACATCTATCCATCCTTAAAAAAGTTTACTGAATTATCAGAAAACATAAAATGTAACATTAGACAGCAGAAATAGTTTTTCTTGCTAATGTATTATGAGCAAATGAGATTTCATCAGTCTTTGAGAAGAGTGAACATCCCTCCATGCTTACTGTTCACTGTTCCTCTGGACTCCATTTGATGACAAACACTTTAAAAATGAGTGAAAAGGAACAATCTTAGCTAGAAAGTATTCACATACTAAATCAAACAGCAATTGTACATATGAACCTGCTGGCTTAAAGTCAAAGCCACTTAGATGTAGAGTTGCAGGAGCCATGCTTCCCCATGAGGAAGGATTTAGTGAGCTGTTTTAGACTCATACGGCTTCAAAAAATAGCCATTAACTATAATCCAAACAATTACTGGACACAGGATGAGATGGCTTCAAATTAAATATTACCAGCAAGAAGAGATAATGACTGAATTTCTTGCCTAAAACCAATAAGGTTAATGAAAATGAGTTGAAGTTTTCATTTTATTTTCATATTTCTCAAAATCTAAATAATTCTTACTAGTTTCTTAGTTTATGTAATTCGTGCAGTTAAATAATATATTTCATTCTGGCTTAATTCTTGAGGCAGGGTCTTCTTATATCTCCAGGCTGGTCTCAAACTTCTGGGCTCAAGAGATCCTCCTGCCTCAGCCTCCCAAGTAGCTTAGATTACAGGTCTGAGTCACTGCACCTGGCCCCTCTGGCTTAATTTTGAATGATAAATAAATAAGCAAAAAAGCTTGTTAACTGATCTAGAATAATCTAAGATCTCTCTCTACAATTTCTTACTTAGCAGAAGAGATAACTGTAAAGACTGCGCAAGTATTTTCAACACTGACACATGTAATCCAAGTATTCAATATTCGTTGAATAAAGAAAAGATGTATCAAATGCATGGAGTATTCACAGGAAATACAAACAAATTCTTGATTTGTAAAACTGTCATCTGTCCTCTGTTGATAGCATTAATATTAGTCTTTGCTCAGCCAGGAAATTGTTTTTGTTAAGCGTAACCTAGTATTTTACAACCCAGTAGGTTAAAAGGGTTTTTTGGGTTTTCAAAGGTTTTTTTCTTTCAACTTTTTTTCATTGAAGTTCTAAATCTATTGTACAATTCCCTACTTTAGAAAACACTGTGTATTAAACACAGTTTATGCTTTTCTTGATGACTCAGTAATATCATCAGGATTAAACCTTGAAATATGTCAAAGAATTAGAAGATGTTGAAAGCCAGTCTGCCTCAGTGCATTCTGGAACTTACTTTATAAGGATCTGGTGATTTACCTTACTCAAATGGTTGGCATGAATAATGTACGGTTTGGGGATGAATAATATGCAGTTTTAAGTGTTCTTCTGCACAGTGTCTTATACACTTTCTGTAAAATAATTAAAGCAACCTTCAAGACACTTTCTATTTTTAAGTTTTCATTAAATTATTTGCTTTTGAATCATTGTATTCTGAGTGAAACACTTCTTAGTACTTTCAAAACATCTTGTTATTTTAATAAACTCTACTTCAATTTTCTTGTATCAACTTACTCTTTAGGGGATTTAACTGAGTTTCTTAAAGAAACCCTGCCATCTTGTGGTCTTTTAGGTAATTATTACTAAAGACCCATTAGTCAAGCTCTATTTTCAAAACTGCAGGCATAAATCTTTATCTGTTCACTTTTTCTGAGTCCACAATGGTTTTGGAGCCATTTAGAATGTTAGTATTTGTGGTACTAGGTATTTGTTGTTTCATATATATATATATAAATATAAATATAATATATACACATATATATATGTATATATATTATACATATATATATATGTATAAACACATACATACATATATATGTTTCCAAAGGAATAACTAATTAAAACAAATCTAATTCAGTTTTAGATTTTTGTGTTTCTGTTCCTTTGATTGCCAGGCAAAGTGACAGTTTTTACTTGTAGAAAATACTGATCCTTGTTCAGTATTATATGTGCTCATTATAAGGAATTATCCTACTGTTTACTGAAAATGCACTAAAATGTCACCTGATAGGCATGATACCTTAGACCAAACATAACTCCTGAGTTCAAAGCAATTCAGCTATGTGGATGTCTCATCACCGAAGATCCAAGAATACTAAGGACCAGCTTTTACCTCCAGAATTTCAGATCTGGCAAGTTGGCTTCACTCCTCAGGCAGAAACTCAAGGACTTTAAGGAATCACTAGTTCAGTAGGCTCTGATCTTCTAGATACTGCTATTGTTTTAATTGTTGTCATCACAGAAAAATTAGAAATTACAGAAAAAGATAAAAGGTTTTTAAAAAATCAGCCATAATTCCAATATCAGAGAAAACTACTGTTGATCTCTCTCTACCCATTTTCCTATATATTAATACATAGGAAAACGCCACACAAATATTAGCACTATACGTACTTGTTTTATCTTTCCCTGTGGAAATACTTGTATGTAACCAGTCACCCATGCAGGGGAAATTGTTGCTGAAGAAAGACCGACTTCTGTCTATGTACCCACAAAATCTCCATAGGGTAAAATAGACTGTGAATAGGTATCAAAAATCCTGCCATTAGCCATTCTACATCCTCCATTCATCTCTTCATCTTCTTTCTCTGACACTTTATACTCTTTTGGTTCTATCCCCACCCCACCCCCAGTATCTGTCTGTCTGTCTGTCTCTCACCATGTGCAGTATTTCTTCTGTTTGTTGTTAATATAGTTGCACTGCAGTTTTATATTATCTAGGCATGAGTTAAAAACAGATTATATGCCCCACAGTTATACAGTCAACACTGATTTGAGGATTCCAGACAAAAGGAAGAGCCAGCTAAATGAGCGAACTGAGTAAGCAGGGTAGTTAGCTAGGAGGATTGGTTCAGTAAGTGGCTCCACAAGAGCAACAAAGCAAGACTGTTCCTAGAGGCTGAAGTGGGAACCAGAGACCTGATGGGTAGCCAAGAACTGGATCTCACCAGGCCAGAAATCATAAACTTTATGAATAAGAGGACAAGAGCCAGATTCTAGAAACACAGGTGGTAAGAGCCCTATCAATATATTTGATAAAAGGATGGGGACTTATTTCTAAGAATAAAAGAAATGTCAAGAGGTTTGGGGAGGCTAGATGCTGATACAGATGGCAATAGCAGATTTCTACTACAGATTATTAAGGTACTGTACATACGTACAAGGAGATCAAAATAATCTACAAATCTATCATTTATGTTCTTTTATGTACCTCTCCCGTGCCCCCCTTCACACACACACACATACACAAACACTATCTACAGTCAGAACAAATGTATTAGTGGTTCCAATAAATATAAATGGATTAAATTCATCAGTTGAAAGAATTACTTCTTGCTACATGCCTTTTACAAAACTCTCTTAAAACATAACAACAAGAAGGTTTAACATGGAAAAAAATATTCTAGACAAATGCTAAACAAAACGGAAAATTATGGTATTAATACTAGACAAAGCTGACCTTACAAAATATAAGATGTAATTACTTGTGTGTCAAATTTTATAGTTTGTCTTATAAAATGATCTATATTTGGTTCCTTTTTATCATTCCTTTATCTGGAAATAAATTATAAATATATATTCACATACCATATATATTCTACTTGTCATCATTAAAAAGAACATCTTAATTAGTTATTCAGAAATGGGTCATATTCTATTCTCCACATGGCTCTTTCTTTGCAGTTCAATGCATCCACACAGCATCCGTATGTGCTACCCATGGCTGGGTACTGTGTACACAAAGATAAAACACCCACTCCTGGCCCTGACACACCCTAAATGTCACACTTTGTAATCATTTGCATCACATAATGAAAAACTATAACTTCTAATTTAAACTCTTATTTATCTAAATGCTAAATGACAAGCTATATGAGGTCAGAGCAATGATATATCTTCTGTAATACTGTCTTTGAAAGTAAAACTTCTCTTTAACAATCAATGAAGGCTGTGATCAATTTCCATCTAGGCTTTCCTTAACCTGAAGAACAAATTCATCTCTTGATCTGCACTTATCATAGGTTCTGTGCTAAGATCTTGCTGTCTGTGCTGCCTGAGATCCCCCTATTACAATCATCCTGTTGAAATAGACATTATAATGCGACAAGGTCAGACAGTTCTCAGGCTACATGACTTTGTCAACCTTCAATGTCAACATAGTGCAGAAGGTAGAATCCCTTACTCTCAATTCCCAATTTCCAATTCATAATTCTCAGCCCTTGATTAAAATTCTCACAAATATAAGAAAATAGTAGAGGGAAACTACATGAAACTCAAACTATCCTGAAAAAGGGAAAATACTAGTTATTATTTAATGTGATGAACAAATGCCAAAAAAACATTAAATTTTAGCCAAAAAAAGACTGAATCCAAGTATCCCATTAGCCACTGTTGTAAAAAACAAAACAACCAACCAAAAAAACCTATAGTATATAGTCTATCTCACAAAGTAGAATATATACTATAACTGAGAAAGTGGGATATAAAAGGTTGTTCTTAAATTTCCCTCCACATGTATCACTGCGCATGAGAAAAACAGTTTTCATGAACTCCCTGAATATTAAGTTCCAAACATGATACCATAAGCTACAAAGCATAGCTTAGAAAACATATGTAGGAAAACTCACTTCTAAGATTTTTTTAAAAATATTTTGAGCTATATTTAATTCCAGAGCAATTTTGTTAAATCTGGTTGTATTTAGCCCCCCTTCACAGAGGAGGAACAAAAAAATTATGGGATATATTCAACATTACATAATAACTCAACATTTTTATCTGAATAATGGTTCAAACCCACTGAAAAAACTCAGTGAAATTATACAATCACATATAGTGGGGGTCTACAAACTTCTTAAAGGTCAGGTTGTAAATATTTTAGGTTTATAGGCCACAGCTCTGTGTCTCTGCTGCAACTAATCAATTCTACCAGTGTAGCACAAAAGCAGTCATAGACAATAGGTAATGAATGAATGAATGTTGCTGTGTTCCAATAAAACCTTATTTACAAAAATAGGCGGTACACCCACACGCTGTAGTTTGCCAACTCATGATATACAGAACCACTTTCAGGCATAAACAATCTTTGATCTGTGTGGAGATACGCCAATGGGAAAATAAGATGAAGTAAAACCACGTAGCCCTTTTGCTTTGATGGAATGACTTCATCACTGGTCTGAGAAAATATGACTTTGACACAGTAGTTACAGGTCCCTATTCAATTACCACTGAGAAGCCCACATGAGAGTAGCTGTGTGGCTTAAGAAGAAAAGGGAATCTATAGAAGTATTTATAAAGGCTTATGCTCCAAAGCTTAAAAGCTGTATTTTTATTCTTAAAAACCTCTCTGCAAATATAACTATAAAGTTTTATTTAAGATTACTCACCCATATCTTGCCAGAGATGCTAAAAAGGCCAGCCATTCCAGACATCCTAAAAAAAGAAAAGAAAGATCACCACTGATCATATATACTATGAAAAAACAAAACAAAACAAACAAAATTCAGGTCAGGAGGACTGCACCTGCACTTCTTGCTATATATTGTCCTCATTCCTGGATTTCACTTCTGTTCTTACAGAGCTTAGCTTCCATGGCCATGATATGAATCATTCTGCTACAAATACATTCCAATTCCTTGGCACTTTCTCCCTCCATTGTACCTGCCTGGCAAAAACTTCAACCCTAAGCAGCTAAATGTCTCTGGGGGAAAAAAAAATAATCACATGACCGGTGACTATTCTCACTGCTTCACAGTCCCAAACCGAAGCAAATTGTCAATACTGCCCAGTCCTACTGCATTTTTCAGGCTTTGAGACAATAGCTCACATCCTTTTCTTCAACACTTACACATCCTCTCCTCCCCCTGTACTCTCAGCTAACAAATACTCCTCCTATGTCACTGCAAAATCAGATGCCATTATGTGATCTTGCTTATCTTCCTGCTCCCAAATCTGGGCCTGGTGTACTCCTGCACCCACCTTCTCTTGTTCCCACAGAGAAACTCTATCTGCCCTACCACAGTCCAATTCCTCCCCCATGTGCCTTGGAACCCATCCCTTTTGTCTTGTTAATGACTTGGTTCTTTCTCCCAACCCCTCTTCCTGCATGAACAATTGCTCCCTCTCTGCTGGATCAATTTCATAGGCATGTTTGCTCTTTTCCATCTTTTAAAAAGAGCATCCTTGGACCTCACATGGTCCTCTAGCTTCATAGACAAATTTCTCCAAAGGGTAGTCTACACATGCTGTTGCTTCTTCTTCACCATATCTCCAACCCATTCAAATCTGCACTAGTCACTACTTGTCAAGGCCATGATGACCTACCTCACCTTGCTTCATTCAATGTCCATGTCTCATATTTGATCTTCCTTCACTTCTTGGTAACATGGAACACAAGGTACCACTCCCTCCTTCTTGAACACCTGCTGGGCTTCTGGAAAATGGCATACTCCAGGTTTTCATGCTGCCTCACCGGTACTCATTTTCAGTTTCCTCCTGCTGACCCCTTCTTAACCCAACTTCTTAATTTGGGAGTGGCTCATGGCTCAGTCTCAAGCACTCTTCTCTTTTTCCTTCTTTCTAGGTATTCCCCCTACTTCTAAGGCTTTCAATGCTGCCCATATGTTTCATATTTGTGTTCCTGAATTTTCCATGGAGACCCACCTCCATACATTCAATCTGACAGCATTATAAAATCTGCATCTCAAACTCAACATATCCAACAAAGAACCCTGGATCTTCTCTTGCCCGAAACATTAACTGGTACCAAGATCTAACAAGTACTCAAATCAGACACCAAGAAGATTTTACCTGTGAATCCTTCCTATCCTTCACCTTGGTCTACCTTCAAAACGTATTTTAAATCTACTCATTATCTCCTTCTCCACTGCTGCCACCTGATACAAGCTACGGTCCTGAGGTTGGACACTACACCAGCCTTCTAACTCATCTCGCCTCATCCACCCTTGCCCTCTCCAATCCTTTCTCCTGAGAGTCAACTTTTTCCATACTCTGATAACCTTCAAGCTCCTCACCATGGCCCCAGGCCCTGCATGATCTGGCTTCGGGCCTGCCTCTCTTATTCAGCTTAGCCTACTCCCCCTCCCTTTCATTGTGCTCAACCCTGGCCACCACTCTGCTCCTCGAACACACCAAGCTCTTTTCCAAGTTGGGGCTTATGCACATCCTATAGCCATTCCTGGGAATATTCTTCCCCCTGCTCTTGACCTGGGCTAGTTCCTTCTACTCTTCAGATGATACCTAGAGGCCTCTCCTCAGAGCAACCTCTCCTAACCACTCCATCTAGAGCAGGTCTATGACTCCAGTCATTCCCTGTCTTGGTAAAGTATGTTGTTTTGTTAACTGTCCTTCTCCAGACTATGATTCTTTGTATCCTCAGTTTTGTTTTTTTTTTTTTTGCTTAATCTGTCTTACTTTAAGTTACCAAAGGGGAATGGAAGGACCTTGTCTGTCTTATTCGCTGTTGAATACCTAACATCTAGAACAATATCTGGTATAAAATCAGTGCTCAAACATTTTTAGAATGAAATGCCAGAAGTAAGCTGCTTTTAGAGTAAGCCATGAGTTTCCTGGGTAGTAACATAGATGCCACTAGATGATTTATTCTTAAAATATTATATAATTTGTTCTCATTTTAGTAGGAATATTTCTTACCTTTTTATATAGGAATATAAAATTAATTACAAATATGACAGTTCATTTAAAACTAAAACTAACTATGGAAAAAGTTATTATGGTTTGGCCTTATCTACCTCACGAAGTGTTGGACAGTTTGCCATCATGGCCCGAAGTCGCCCCCGGCAGTATTCTCCTAGGCACCAAAGACACCATAGGTTTTTTTTCTACATAAGATGCAACAGCAATTCTGTCATGAACTATATTCAAGAGTTACTCCTCCATTTTAGCAATAATTATAGGAAGGAAAGAATGGTAAATGATATTCAATACTATCTTTTGTAAAGAGAAAACAGTCAGCGTGGCTTAGCACAAAAGCTGGAAGAGAGGCTTTCTATAGCTTACCCAAATCTGGCTACTTAATTCCTAGTGAACTGAAAACTAACTGAAACAAATGTGCTGTGCGTCACAAAACCATTAATACCACATGGTCCAAGTATGGCCATATGTGGTCTGGGTAATCAGAAGTGTTATGAAGAACAATGTAGGCTTTCAAGGTCCATAGGTGGTTAATTTGATACCTCTTTTTTCTTAATTAACACCGTGTTGTTAAAAAATTAACAAGTTACGTTAGAGAGGCTGGAGATTTCCATCCAGTCAGAGGCTCAACTGATTGCCATTTCTTCTCTAAGATATAATTTTGCAGGTCTTCAAAGATTCCTGGGCCACGGTAACGGCGGAATATCCCATCCTTTGCACTATAAATTATAAAAACAAGTAGAAAATAAATAAAATAACAGGTGTTACAGACAATAGAAACCAAAATAACTATTGGTCAGACATGTGAACTGCACTTGAATTTTAAATTGGCTCAAATGAAGAAAAAAGTATAGTTAAGCATAAATCAGAAAGTATGCATAAGTTTTCATCTATTACAAATCAGAAATTCCTAAACTGAAAGCATTAAACAATTTATTTTATCACTGCACAATGTGTGACTAAGAACAAAGTTCTTGGCAGTGTTTACTTTGCTAAGTTACTTTGCATTATTTTTGCTAACAATTATTTTGGTTCTTCTCTTACAATAACAAAATAGCCATTGTTATGAAGGTAAAAAAATTACATCCACATTTCCAAATTCATGTTATTCAAGCCCCTCTCCTCAAAATCAACAAAAACCTCTTAGTCTCACATCCACCTTCAGCCTTCCCTCCCTCTTGCCTTCCTGCCACAATCAAGTTTCCCAGCAGAAGAGTCTACACTTGCCATTTTCTCCTCTTTGTTATTCACTACTCAGTGCAGTCACAGGTTCTGGTCCAATTGACTTGACTGAAACTGCTCATATTGGAGTCTCTAATGACTATCAGTGCCATAAGCCATGGAGCACTTGTCTGCCATTTTCCCTTCACTTGTCATTGGCATTATCCACTACTGAACACCACTTTCTTCCTCCTTTGAGTTGGCTTTTATGACATGGGCTCTCTGGACTTCCTTCTACTACTATGATCATTCCAACTCAGGTTCTCTCACTAACTGTCTTCCTAATTTTAGTCAACCCCAGGTACAATCCTTGACCTGCTTCTCTTCCCAGGACATGTTTTCTCTAGATACAATTCAAGTGTTATCTATCTCAATACTGAGGAATTTCCAATATGTACTGCCAATCTAGATCTTTGTTCTGAGCTCTAGATCCTGACATCAAACTGTCACCTAAACTTCTCCATTTGGAATTAGCATAGGTACTTCACACTATCTCTTCCATTTTTGCCTCTATCTTTCAAACTTTATCTTATCCTAATGGCTCCTTATCTTGAAGGCAGGCAAGAGCTTTTACTAGTTTTACATGGCCTGTTGGTAGTCATCACAGACTTTTCCTTCCCATGACTAATCAGTCAGCAAGTCCCAATGATCCCACCTCCTAAGTATCTCTGGAATCCATCCCTTCCTTTCTCTTTCCCCTGCCACTACCTGAGCCCAACTGTACCTGAAAACCAGCCAAACAGAATGAGTTACAGTTCTCAAAAAACATCTCATTTTCTCTTGGGCTTTTGTATGTTGTCTCCTCTACCTGGAAAGACCCACTCAGTTTGTTAGCTTAACCCATTCCTACTTATCTATTAAGAATCATCCCACCTTTGATATCATTGGAGAAATTTTCTCTGACCACTCCTCCCCACTACGCCCTGCTGAAATCATGTCCTCCTTTTCCATAACACTCCAGGCATCCTTCTCCCATTCTCAGAGCAGACCAGTCTTTCTCCTCTCAAACATTAAGCTGAATGAGTGGCTGCCATGGAAAACAACTTAGACTTCCTGGCACACGTCTATTCATTTCTAACCTTTGCAAGAACAGAGGATTATTTAAACTTACTGAAAAAATGCTGGGAGAGTGGTGACAAAGAAGCGGCCACTCAAACCTACAAGAAACATAAACAAAAAAAAGATCACAAGTCAAGCCCAAGCACTTAAGTTCCAAGAAAAAGTATCTTTGAGATTGCTTTCATAATCACATGAAAATCACTGCAATTATTGAGTCAAATGTGCTATTTTTTGTATTAAAGAAAGTTCATTTTTTACTCATTTTTATTAACACTTTCCAATCACTGACACAACTTGGTTATCTTCAATGTGTTACTCTGGAATTTCCTGGTTTGTGCATCACTTTGGGAGTGTGTGGAAGGTAAAAGGATAGGATTTAGAGTCATATAATATGGGTTAAATACTAACTTCCTCATTTAATTATTTAACCTTTCTGAGTCTCAGTCAACTCATCTGGAAAATAGGTATATTAAAGCCTAAATATTCTGAAGTTAGATTAGATCAGTATAATAGAGCTCAGCACAGGGCCTGGCACATAATGAAGGACTCAATAAACTATTGGTATTATTACATCAGTTATCAGTTTCAGAAGACTAAAGAATGCAAAATACTAAAGATCACATAGTCAACAGATGGAATATATGCACATGAACTATATTTTTTTCAAGCTGTCTCAGAAAACATTTACTGAACACAAAGTACTTTATAAATGCTATGCTACATGCATGTAAAGACAAATAAAACCCTTGGTTACTTAGCAAATATTAACTAAGCACCTACTTTGTTCCAGGGACTGTGACAACTGCTCAAGACTCATAGATGAGCAAAAACATGTACAGTTTTTATCCTCACAGAGCTTACAGTCTAGCGGCAGAGGGAAAGAATTTAATCGAATAATCGCAATCAGAACTATAAACAGAGAACAATGATATCAGGAAAAAGTGGCATGCAACAAAAACCTGAATGAGACTAGGAGTAAAGAACAGATCCCTGCCCTTTAAATGTTTATAAATAAATAATATTTACAAATAAATATATTTATGTAGCTACCACAAATGAGTAAAGAGAAGGACAGCTAAAGGATCCTCCTGGCCAGCATGGAAAAATGACATTTTAAAATTTCTCATCACTCTGCCTTTTCCACGTAAGAACAATCTAGACAAATCAAATATCTATACACATCAAGTTGCTCAAATTTTACTTTGAACAATTCTTTGGTAACGTGCAATTCAAAACACTGAAGCTGTACTTTTAATGACATGGGAAATTTGCTTTTACCCATTTGATAAATTAAATCCATATTCAGTATAATAATTTATTAATTAATGATAAGTCTTCTCAAAAAAGAGTTCCCTATTTTATTTCATATCAGACCAAGTGGACTCTAAAAACATCCCTATGATACTTAAAAGGAAATAGTACTCAGGTTTAACTGAAGTCAATGTCATGAAAAGAAACATTTATTATATAAATTTGTCATTGTACATTGAAAAAAATAGTTGCATTGGCAGTAACAAAAACACAAGTGACCTGAAATGAGGTTAACTGAGGATTGTAAGAAGCACCTCTGTCTAAGGATATTTTCACCTCTGACGATGCTGGGAATTCCACTCTAGTGGGGAACAAGGGCTCTCACAGTATATAATTCCAACTATAAATTGCCAGGGAAAAAAATATTGCTATTCCTAAGTGATTAAAAATTATTACATCTTTGGTTTAAAATAATTATTACAAACAGTTTCATATCTCACTTCTTTCCTCGCTATAGATTCTTATGACCACCCAAAATTTTTATTTCAGGAGAGTTATGATTTTAGGGAAGTATTTTATTTATATTGCCTTTTAAAATGGAATGAACAAAATAAATTACTCATCACTTCTGGAAGTGTTCTACTTAGATTTTATTTTTATTGGAATAAACATGGTTTCTAATAAATGTTAGATAACACAAAGCATATTTTAAAATTTTCTCTCTAAAATCCTTCATATATTCTTAGTCATCATTGGCTATGGCAATAAATAAAAAAGCAAAAAAAAAGCAGAAAAAATATTTCACTGCAAGAACTTCAAAAAGTGTGGAAAAACCAAGTATACTCCTAAGCTTATAAATAAAAAGGACAAAAGTCTGACCACAAAGCCTCCCAAAATTTCTGCATGCCTTTTTTACTGTAACGGTAATTTCCACTTTAAAATGAAGACTGTAATGCAACATGGGAAAGGTATAAATCTGGAATGTAAAAATAAATTTAATTTCTTATCAGAAAACATACCTTAAACATATGTAGCAAAAGAGAATTAAAAGCTTAGAGAAAGTAAACAAATTATAGTAGGAAATTATATTTTGATATGCAAAAAACACAACAGAAATTATTTAATGACGAAGAAGAGAAAGATAGCTTATAGTGTGTATTCTACTATTTATTAGCTGTATTACCTTGGGCATGTTGCTAAACATCTCTGAGCCTCAGTTTTCTAAAATAGAGATAAACAATTTGTTCCTTATAGGGTTGTTATGAAGCTAAAACATATGTAGATGTGTAATATAATTATAGGCTGAAATAAATGTTCACTAAATGTTAGTTATTATAACCAAAGAGAATAGCAGAAGGAAAACAATGAAAAGAAAGTAGAGCTAAACGTATTTTGAGATTGAAATAAAGTTAGCCATAGAATACAAAAGAAAGACTCTTTTCATAATTATAAAATTAAAAATGTAACCCTAACTGAAGTATAGCAAACTAAATTGGATTCGTATTAAATTGGTGGTTTTAAACAGAATGCTTATTCTTGGCTGTGGTAGGGGTCTAGTCTATCTCTAACCCAGTGAAATAACCATCACCAACAGGTAATCTATGAGCAGATGCTGTTTTCCTGCCCTTGACAAGTAAGCCCTTCTGCATGGAACAGAAGGTTCAAGTACATACTCATTAAATTTAATTTCCTAAATTCAACTCAACTGAAACATCACCTGATCTATGCAATATTAAACAGGCAATGTAATGTAACCTAATCTAAGGCCTGCCCTTTCCTTGACTTGTGCATCTCAGCTGAAAAAAGCAATATGCTTATAATCTCTTGATAATTCTGAAATTTTATTTTCTGTTTAAAGTACCTAAAAGGATCTCTTATTAGACATACTGATGGAAGAGTTAATATGTTCTTACTGATAGCTAAAGAGTATGCATGAACACTTTGAAAATTCTTGTATTTTCCTCTTTTTAAATTTTACTTGCAGGGAAAAGAATTCAAATTATTCCTTACTAGCTCTCCTGTAGCAAGGCTACAAAGAATATACTTACACAGATCTGTAACCAAATGGAAATTTGTATATAGAAATATCAAGTAAAGGACTTAACCATGGAGAAAATAATCAGTGTCGTTTCAATGGTTTTTCTACTGCTCCTTTAGGACATTAGATTTTGTAAAAATGAAGTAAATACTCAAATTGTTTCCAAGATGGGGCAGCTGCCCTGGTGGCTTGCCAGTGAGTTAGTACAACATAAGATACCTCTCTTCACTTGGCTTCCACATGCTCCTACTTCTCCCTGTCCTCTTTCCTCACTGGCTACTCCTTTTCCTCTGTGACAACTTCTTTTCTTCTTCTGAATAGAGTGCCCAGTTCTACCTCTCTAGCACACAGCCCCTAGGTAATCTCAATTCTTCCCCTAGCTTCAAATACCATCTACACTGAAGACCATCAACTTTATATCACTAGTTCATCTCTATCTGGATGTCTATTTAACGTCCCAAACTTAACCCCTGCCCCAAACCTGCTCCTCCTCAGTCTTTTCCATTTCCTGTCTTTCCACTATATCCTACAACCAATCCAGCAGGAAATCTAGTACCTCAAATCCATCCACTTACCACTACCGCTACAAGTCCAAGCTACCATCTTCTCACTCTGGACTACCTGCTTCCATTTCTGACCTCCTGCAGTCAATGTTTTCACAGAGTAGCCAAAGGAATTATTTTAAAATATAAATCATATCATGTTATTCTCCTGCTCAAACCTTTCAGTAGCTTCCTTTCAATCATATCTCATATAAAATGTAAACTCCTTGCTATGGCCAGTAAGACCCTACACAGTCTGGTCCCTAGCTACCGCTCCATTCCCATTTATCTTGAGTACCCTACTGGCTGCCATATTGTTCCTCAGATACACCAAGGACACTCCCACCTGCACATGGTGTTTGCTCTGCCTGGAATGCTCCTCCCCCAAGACTTGCTAAAGTTCAATTTATCAAGAACTCTAGTTAAACAGTCCTTACCTAGCCATCGTATTTTTAAAATTAGCTCCAATCATTTTCTACATTTTTGCCCTATTTTATTTTTATTCATAGCTCTTGCTGCAATCTCACATTATCTGCCTATTTATTTCTGTTACTATTTATCTCCTTCACTAGAAAGTAAGCTTAATAAGGAGCCAGGCCTCTGTCTTCCTCATTCACCTCTGTATCACTGGTATCTAGAACAGGGCCTGTGTGTGGCAGGAACGCATATATTTGTTAAATAAACATGTTATTTCTAGTTTCTATTAAAAGATTAATTGAAAGCATTAGGTTTGTAATTCAAAGTAAAGTTATAAACGTAAAACAAATATAATCTGAAGTGAAAAATTCTCTAGGCCTTTCCAACAATTATGCATGTAGAAGAATTTTGCCTCCTAATTTTTATTTATGAGCTGCACTTTTTAAGTTTTTATCATTTAAAAGAATTCTAAAGCCTCTGCCTTTAAAAAACTTGTTCTAACACATAAAATAATTAATAACTTTTCTTTTATTGGATTCCTACAGAATACCAGAAAGAAGTTTTTTCCTTCTTCAATGAGTATTTCAAGTATATATAGTTTAGATTTATATAAATTATGAGTCAAAACAATGTTTTTAAAATACTTCTTTAATTTCTCTCTTACTTCATTATCAAAAATAATCCATTCCCAATGGAAAAAATAGTTATAAGTCCATATTTTTAGATGAAAGGCTATATTTACTTAAACATTAGATTTGTGAACCCATCACAAAGCTGTTGAATCCTTTAAATTCAAATCATGCTGTAAATTCATGGCAGGTGTACAAAATGATTGAAATGTGAATAGGCCAGCTGCATTTTTAAGAAACCCATCATAAAATGTGCCTGGTACCCACTAATTTACAAGCCTTACACCTGATTTTATTGGACTCAAAGTACTAAAAGATGAAAACAAGTTTTTAGCAAAAATGCAACTGCAACGATTTGGTGTCCAAACAGAATAACTCATTATGACGGCCAAAACCATGAACTAATAACTATAATTGTCCATCTCTAAATAGAGGATGGGCAGAGGTGGCTTTGTTTCAAATGCTTACAAATATGGAGGCTCAAGGACTCGTGCCTTTTAATAGAAATCTCTCCCCAATTTTATTGTTTTGATTTTTTAAAATTATTTTTGAGACAGGGTCTTGCTCTGTCACCCAGACTAGATTACACTGGTGTGATCATAGCTCACTGTACCCTCAAACTCCTGGGCTCAAGTGATCCTCCTGCCTCAGCCTTCTGAGTAGCTTGAACTACAGGCAGGTGCCACCATCCCCAGCTGATTTTTCCTTATTTTTCGTAGAGACAGGTCTCACTATGTTGCCCAGGCTGATCTCAAACTCCTGACCTCAAGTGATCCTCCCACCTTGGCCTTCCAAAGTGCTGAGATTATAGGCATGAGCCACCGTGACCAGATGACACATCAACTTTAACATACGCCATCCATTTTGTTGTCCAAGTAATTGGTCTTCATTACTTGGTGATTTCTGAACTCACAGTAATTATAGAAAGGTGAATAATTATATTTTTATGTCTATCTTCTTTTTTCCCTGGTAAAGGATACGGTAGGTAGAAATTGAATGTCAATAAGAAAAGATGACTATCAAAATTTAAAAACAGCCGTATTTTAGAGATTTAGATCACAGAAGGCCAACTTTTTTTCTCAATTTATATATAATACACAAAGTTATTTTAAGACTACAAATTTATTATATATACTTTTTTTTAAGAATTTAAAACAGTCTCTTCTATCTCTCTCCACTCTTCGGGGTAAAAGCAATTCTTTCTTTCTCCTGAAAAATTACATCATTGGCAGATGATAAGTGTAAATGGAATGACGGAATTAGAAATTCATTATTCTGGAACCCATAATGGAATATCTGCTTCAGGCAAGATCATAATGGATCTTAAAACCCCAAAGTATCACCTCACAGATTACTTGCTAATCACAAAGTGGGGTTACTTCTTCATAATTGAGATATTTAGTGCCACCATCTTAACCAAGTACTCAAATTAACATCGTTAATGTGACAGCATGTGCCTTCTGATGAGATGCAATATGAAATCACAGTATCGTTTATGACGTACTCTTGCCATAAATGTTTGCCCTGAATCATGCCTCTAGATTTGAACTTCCAGTTTATATAGAAAATGCAGAAAATATTATATATATTCTTATAAGTGAAATGTCACCATAAGGAAACACCTAAGAAAATCTTGCCTTGTTCTCTTCAGAAAATCAATGTTATGAAAAAAATGGGGGATAATTCTAGATTGAAAGAGAACTCAAAAGACGTAATAACCAAATGCAATTTATGAACCCTGACTGGATCCTGGTTCAAAACACTATAAAAACACACATGGGAAATAATTAGGAAGATTTTAACATGCTAAAGAATTGAAGGATAAATTATCATGATGTCTAAAACTCACTTTCAAATGGCTCAGTAAAATAAAAATATAAATATACATGCACCTACGTATGTGCAAACACACACACAGACAGACCCAGATATGCCAAAATGTAATCCATTCATTAAAGGTAGTCAGTTCACAGGTAATCAGTATCCTAGTGTTTCAACTTTTCTGTATACTTGAAAAAATTCAAACTAAAAATTTGTTAAACTTTTACATCTAATGTTGAACATTTACAGTACCTGGCTCCTGAATGACATCTACCTTCCCCACACTGATCTGAAGTATTTCACCATTCTTTGCAAAAGTCTCCCATTCCGAATCAGTCTGCTGGCAGGATGGACACCACGGGGCGTAACTATAAGAGAAGAATAACTAATCAATATAAACATATGGAAAAATATGTAAAATAGAGAAATAGAGTATTTAAATTAAAAAAGATAAACTCTTAACTAAAGAGATCTATAAGAGCAAGCTTTTCCAAAGTCATTTGATATAAAAAAACAGAAGCACATTCCCTCCTAGGATTTAATGTATAAACGTAAGTTCTATAGGAAAAATTTAGCCAAAGTTTGAAAATATGTTCAAGGATTATTGTAATACATAAAACAGTTTATTTCAATGTTATTCTTACAATTTTGTCACTCTCCGGATACCTTTTGATCTTTGAGGGTGAGCAGTTTTTATTGCTCCACTAAGTGGGACAATTTTTGCAAGGCTGCCCCTAAACTAGCCAAACCAGTTTCAGGTCTACCCAAACTAGAGATCTGATGGGCACAGACCAGACATATTGCTTGAGAGTCATCAAGAATGTTTCCAAACATCAGAAGATCTGTGGCACTTCTAAAACATTCTGAAAAGGAAAGTAGAAACCATAGGCTGACCCAGTTCTACCCAACACTTTCTTAAATAGAAAAGGCGTTATGAATACCTGGGCCTTCAAGCTAGAACGCTGTTTTTCAGTTATTTTTCATTCAATAAACAGTAACTAAGCATGATGCTAGAAGCTCAGGCTACAATTGGGAATGACACAGACTTGGTGCCTCCTCTCTTTGTGGATCGTCAATTCCGAGATGAACAGAGATAAGCACAGGGGTAAACACAATCCAGGTGGCAACGCCATGACTGCGAGTGCGAAACAGATGCTATGGAGACACTGTGGAGCTGGGGTGTCTCGGAAGGGCCCGGAGAGAGAGAAACCTCTGTGCTAAGATCTCAAGTAGGAGTTAATACCCAGAGAGGGGTCACGGAATGTTCTAATCTAAGCACAGAGAAAAGGATGTGTGAAGGCTCAGAGCACTAAGAGGGCAGGGTGAAGACATCACCCACGGTCTTTAAAAAAGTTGTAGAAGGAGTTAGGACCTCATTTGAAGCTCCATGGTAAGAATTGTGATCAGATTTACATTTTGGAAAAATCTCTCTTATAGCCCTGTGGATAATCAATCAAGGAAGGACAAGACGGAAGCAAAGAGAACTAGAAGGCTGGACAGTAATCCTGGCAATATGTTAGTGGCCTCACTTCGCCCTCCCATATCCTGGAAAACATCACAAATACTCAAACCATAAAGCTCTGAAGTTCTCCAGGATTTAATCTGTAGATGTTAAAATGATCCAGAGAAGTCTGCTGCTTAGAAAGTGTAGTGAACTAAAGGGTAGTCCCTAAAATCATAAGTCCAAGCCCTGGTACCTGTGAATGTGACCTTATTTGGAATAAGAGTCATTACAGGTATAATTAAATTAAGGATCTCAGGATGAGATCAACCTGGGTTTAAAGTGGGCCCTAAATCCAGTAACAGCTGTTCTTATAAGAAAGAAGAGGAAGATTTGGCAGAAAGACACAAGGAAAGGCCGTGTAAAAATGGAGGCTGAGACTGGAGTTGTGCAGCTACAAGCCAAGGATTGCCAACAGCCACCAGAATCTAGGGGAGAGGCACGGAGTGAACACTGCCATAAAGCCTCCAGAGGGAACCAACCCTGCCAACACCCTGAGTTTGGACTTCTGACCTCCAGAATTGGGAGAGAATAAATTTCAGTTGTTTGAAGCCATCAAGTTTGTAGTAATTTGTTACAGCAGCCTGAGGAAACTAGTATACAAAGGAAGATATCATTTGAAACGAGAAGAAATCGAGATCGAATAAGCCTTATAGAGATTTAAAGAGCTGGCAAGGCTATGCTTAACGTGAAATACCACCAACAAACAACAATGTATGCTGGAAATCCATTTTATAACACTAACATGACATGATTAAAAGGAAAATTAACATTTACAGAACAATGTCACAAAAATACATTAGTGCAAGTAGAAAAACATTTTGTTTTGCTTAATAGTACTCAGAAGATTAAAACAGTAAATAAAATAAATCAATCAATGCTCACAAAATAGAACAGAAAAAAAATCATCAGGCACTTTGAATAGTATTTCAGGATGCCACGAACAACTAGACATATTTTTAAAATCTGTTTAAAATTTTTAAAAGTCCTTTAACTCAAGTCAAAATATTGAGGGAAAAAATAAAACAGACATTTAAAAAGACTTGATATCACTAAATTGTTTATGTACAATGGGTAAATGTTAAAGCACATAATATAAATTATACCACCAAGGGAAAGAGGGCAAGAGGTAGAGATGAAACAAGAGTGGCAATATACTGATAACTGTGGAAACTTAATGATGAGTAATGGTGATTCACTATACTACTCCTAGTTTTGTGTCCATTTAAAATTTTTCATAATAAGACTTGATTAAGTAGAGAAATACACTAACTTGTGGATGAGTAGGCTGAGCAATGTAAAAATGGCAATTCCCTCCTATTTATTTTTCACTTTTTCCATTGCTAAATTGTTTTTTACAAAATGTGGCACCTATTGTTTCTAAATTAAAGGAAGAAAGGGACAGTAGAAAAATAAAAGAATGCCTTCCAACAAAACAATACACACACACACACACACACACACACACACACACACACACATGCACAATGCCTTAGGAAAAGGAAACAAAGTAAGGCAGCAGAGTATGAAACTAATGAAATTCTGTAACAAGATTTAGGCTCAAAGGTGCCTTTTAGGTCATCACTTACAAAATTTTTTATAATAAAATCTTGAACTGTGCAGAAACATGTTTATGAGTACCATTCAAATACCGATGCAATGATACACATAAACCAATTTTGCTAAATTACAAAACAAATATAAAAAACTGAAATCAGGCAAGATTTTGATCTTTCGTATTATAAAAGGTGATGGGAGGAGGAATTAAAAAGCCAAGACTAGGGAAAGAAAGGCATTTATTTTGGGATAAGTATTGAAAATTAGGCAGAACCCAGAAGAGAAAGGGCTGCCCAAAGCCAAAGCATGCATTTTTCTCTCCAGCTAAGCCCCAGAAGCAGCAACACATAGCAAGCACAGTTGTTCACCCTCTCTAACTGCACCTCTAGAAAAGACTAAGATATAGCCAATCCCAAGATCATTCTAAAAGCTCATCATCTTCCCATTATAGCTCACTGCCCAAGACCTGGGATCCAGGAGACATGCATCAGAGAATAATCTGTTGACATCTTTGAACACAGATTTTTTTAAAAAACATTTATATCTCTACATTTCCAAAGCAAAGTATATTCTTGGTTTACAGTGGGTGCTCAATAAATTTTTGCTAAATAAACAACTATATAAACTTCAATGAAAATTATATTCTTAATCTGAGAAAATAGTTATTTTCTACATATTTTCTAAATATCCAAATGGCAATGAGGTTCATTCAGATAGCTGGCAAGCTTTAGGAATAAAAAAAAGGGAAACATTGAATTAAGTACATTTCAAGAGGTATTTTAGAATATGGGATAAGAGTTATGCCAGAGGAATCAGAAATGCCAACCAGGAATTAACCATGTGACTTTGGATTGATTAATAATCTCTTCATGCCTCAGCTTCCTCAACTGTAGCTACCTTAGAAGATTAGATAACACATGCAAAGCAGGCACATATTAGACCAATAATTACTACGAACTAAATTTGCAATATTCTGTTTGGTATCCAAGACACTTTTAGGATGCATTAGCTCATCTGACTTTGCGACATCACTGCCAAACAAAGGTTTAGAGACTTGCTTAAGGTCATTTAAGACCACGCAGAGCAAGAACCCAGACAAAGGTATTTCGGTGATAAAAATCTTCAAGGAAAATAAGACTCCACACCAACAACCAGAGGGAGGGAGGGAGGGAGGGAGAGGAAGGGAGAGAGAGGGAGAGAGAGAGAATAAGAGAGAAAGTAACAAAAATAAGGAAGAAATCTTGAAGTATAAAATAATAAACTTTAGATCTTTATTTCCCTAGGACTCTGTTTTACATATAAGTCATGGACACATTTGCTACATCAGTAATTATTAAATTGTGCAAATTTCATAATTTTGAAAACTCCCAGTCCCTAATCTCTAGATAGGACATTATATAAATTGAGTTTTTGGTGAAACTGACCTTCAGATATACAATTATGATACACCGTCAGATATGCCATTGAGGTAATTTTAGATAGGCCGTTTTCTATGTAGCTGCTACCTACTGTTATGCAGCACTGTTAATGCCATTATTTCAGAGATTTAGTCAGAGCTGATTGTGTTGGAATACACCAAGATGTTCTTTCAGTGGTGGAGATAAGCCAGCTCTGAGTCTTTGGTGTGGGAGCTGGTCCATTGTTGCTGCAGCTTTTTAAATTATTAGTATTCTTTTGTATCTAAAGGATCGTAATTTAGACAGGAATTTAGAATCTACTGTAAGTAAAATACCTCCAGGAGTGAAATAAATACAAGGATAACCCATGAGACCTTCATGCCCTTCTCTTTCTCTCTCTCTCCTCTCTGTGAGACTGTAGACATATATATGTATATTTAATTTATGTGCGCATATATATTTCACGTACACATGCATGTATGCATGAATAAAACCCATCAGAAAGAACTGAACATGATCTTCATTTATATTACTTAAAATTAATTCACAGTAGCAGTCTTCTCCTAAGGACTGTTGATATAAAAGATCTCACTGCCATAACTTTGTCTCTTATATATAGTCTTTCTTTGATTTAAGAGCCTCCAGGGAGAATTAGCTCCATTATCATCATAGAAACCATAAACCAGTATCTTTTCTATTTAAACTTTTTGCAAGGTCACAGTGGTATATAAAATTAGTAAACTTCATAAAGACGTTTGAAATATATTCTAGATAGCCAAGATACTGTTAAATTATACCAACTTAGATATCAGTCCAAGGTTTTCAACCATTTCTGAGAAAGAAAGGTCAACAGCAAGCTTTTGTTGTCCTTGTTAGTATCCAAGCACAAAGTACACCGAGGTTCTACTAGATG